CACACGCAGATGGTCCAGCTTGCGCAGCGCCATCATCGGGAAGGTGCGCAGCCCGTTCTCGGACACGTCGATCTCCTGCAGGCACTCCTCGAGGCCGGCGAACGCGTGCTCCGGCATGCCCTGCAGCCGGTTGCCCTTCAGGTTCAGCTTCGATATACGCAGCCCATAGAAGCTGTAGTCCTCGATCCGCACGATCTCGTTGTAGTCAAAGTCCAGCGCCGTCAGCTTCTGCATCGAGCTGAGGGCCCGCGACGGCATCTGCAATGCACCAAAAAAAACACCAGAATCGTTATTGGAATGGCCCCATGGATGGAGGGATGGAGCGACGGATAGACGCCCTCGGGCGCCGCACACACGATTCAATTTAATTGAATCAAATCCCAACGACACGCAATTATCGAAATATAATAAACAATTAACACGTGGCGCCGCAGGGTCAACGCGGGGTGCAGCGCGGGTTGTGTTGCCGTGTGTCATGGCGGCCTCCTCTTGGCTTTCCATTCACTGGAAGGCGCAAGAACGCATTGCCGAGCGCTTTCCATTATCGTTTATCGATTGTCGACTGTCAAGAACAGCTGATTGTGTTCGCCCATGGCCCATGCAATTAAACTGCAAATTTGCATAAAGTTTGAAGGAAATTGTATTATTGTTATGTGCGCCCAAGACTCCGCGAGACGTGGCGACACTGTGCCCTCGGGATCGTGTTAGATCTGCGTATTTGCCACGTTTGGCATTCTTTTGGTTCCTCCTGCCCGGTTTGGTTTCCTTCCCATCGGATGTATCAGAAGATATGGAGGCGAAACTTTCTTTCTATTCCTTCAACTGTAACCTCAGCTCATGTCATGTCTGATCTGTGCCACATCGACTGGCTTTGCAGCTGTGGCACGTGTGCGTGTGTGTGTGTGCGTGTGTTTGCCTTGCTCTGTTTTCGGCGGGCGCTGCCTTTGTGTCGTGCGACTGCGACTGTGCCTTTTGTTGCCCGCTAAATCTGTAATTAAAACCGCGCCATTGTGCAACAGTCCCATGGGCAAGCCATGCAGCAAGCCATTTAAAAAGCGCACCGCACCTGAAGCTCCGGAGCCGCAGCCGCAGCCGGAGCCCCAGCGGAGCATCCGCCCTTCGTTTGTGGCGCGTGTTTGTTCACCTGTTTTGACCGTTTCATCTGTTTGCCAATGCCGCGAAATTGCTTTTGATGCCAATCATTGAAAACTTTGCACAGGTTGCATATCTGGCCAAAGCAGACTGCCAGCAGAGTGGCAGCAGTGGGGTCGGCGACCCTGCGCTAGCGCCAGAGGTGCTATCGCATTTTTTTTGCATATTTGTCCACAGTCCACAGGTGATTCCAGATCAACCAAAAATATTGTACATATACCCTAAAATGAATTTCCTGAGCTGCCGACGACTACCAGTTATGACTGCCAGTTATTGAATTGGAATGCATTCCCCCTGGCCCTCGCCCTCGCCCACCCCATCACCACCCCCACATTCACATTCACCATCAATATTCTCGAGCAGACTGCAGGCACTCCATGGATCTATGGCACAAAAACGATTACAAAGAGAACATAGAGAATTACATAGATTATATAGAGAACTTTTGACGGCGATTCCTATCTTGATTGGGATTCTTATGAACTTGAGTGTGGCAATCAGCTACGGGATTGACTGTGACTCCTGTCCTACTGGTACTCGGGGAATTCCATCGGAGGGCTCTCGGGCTCCGGCTTGATCGTGAACAGAGGCTGCAGGTTAGGCAGCGTCGGGGTTCCAGGACCACGCACAGGCAAGTGCGGGGAGTGAGGACCGCTCGAAGAGATTGGGTAAGTGCGCGGATCCCGACTGTGCCTTGGGGGTGTGATGGGCGAATAGCTGGGCCTTGGGGGTGTGCGAGCAACATCAGGCTGACGCCTTGTAGTTTGGGCACGTATACGAGCACTGCGCCTGGGAGATCGGGAACGGGTACGGTGACTGCGCCTGGGAGATCGGGAACGGGAACGGTGACTGCGCCTGGGAGATCGGGAACGGGAACGGTGACTGCGCCTGTGAGATCGGGAACGGGAACGGTGACTGCGCCTGGGTGATCGGGAACGAGAACGGGTACGACGACTGTAGCTTCGCAGCGGAAGGGCTTGTCTAAGCATTCTGGCCTGGAAGGGAGCCACCTGAATCCGCTGTCCGCCTATGGTGCCCCCGTTCATTCGCTCTATTGCCAGTGCACAGGCGTTGGGGCAGTCAAACTGGACAAAGGCGTAGCCCCGACCCATCGGATTCCTGGGGTGTCTGTTTGTCGGGTACTCCACCGCCGTAAGTGCCCCAAAATGCCCAAACAGCTCCGATAGCTGCTCCCGTTTGGCAGAGAGAAGGCAGGCCACGAACGTGGATCTTCACCGCCGACAATGGCACCCGTTGCCCGTTCCCGCCCGTGTGAACACACGCGGGGTGACACTGTCGACTGGCTACTGCCTTCTCCAGCCGATTGGAGCTGCGCAACGGCGCCGTGGACTTTTCAGGCAGCTGACTGCCGCCTCCTCCCCCGAAGCTTGGAGTAGTAGCCATGGACGTAGCGTCGCTGGCCATCTGGAGCTGCAACATCAGTGCACATTTATTCGGTTGACAGTACCTGACACTGACAGGCGAGCAACTACTTACCGGCTCAGGGCTGGCTTCAGGGATCTCCCTCTTAATCTTCGGCCATTGCAACTCAGGGGCAGCGTTCGGCATCGTCTTAGGAATGTTGTGTATATATATATATGTATATATATGCATATATATGTGTGAGTGCAACTACTTACCGACTGGGGCAACTCATCCTGCACTATGGGTTCCACCTGGAGGCTAGACTCTGCATCGGAGGGCCAGTTCGCCTTTGGGAGTTCATAGTACCCCACCGGATGGGTTTGGATCCCACACTTCGCAGCTCCTCTTTCCTCCCTGAGTGGGGATTGCAGGGCCTTTTACGAGTGGCGTTCACTTGAGTATGAACTCGTTCTACTACTGGGGCAGTTGAGCACACGGCATGGATGGTAGTGGAGCGGTCCCTCATGCCGGACGGAAGAGCCCGAAAGCCTAGGCTTAGCCGCGCGTTTCTTGCTTTTTAACCAATCTATCGGATTGGCCTCCCCCGGATGGCTCCGTTCCAATGAAAACGTTCTATTTCGCAATCGTTTGAACATTTTTATATTTCACCGGAATAGAAATAAGAAACAAGTTATACGCTGGGAACTATCACACCGACCGACTGACTGACTGAATAATGTCTCCCTCCAATGGAGCGACACACAGGGAATGGAGCACACACAGAATGGCACACTGCGATCGTCGATAAATGTTCGGAAAATGTTCCTTGAGAAAGCGAACACAAATTCGATTTTCTCCGTCATATGTGCTTTTAGTTTTTAGGTTTTTGTTGCAGTGAGAATGGGTTCCGTATGGGTACGGGTATGGGGCATGGGTAGTGTGGGTTCCGAAAGCGAAGTTGGATGGTTTTTTCTCTTCTTTTTTGTCTTCTCTGTGATGGGATTTTTGCTCTTTTAATTGCACTGATTGTCCGCTGTACGGCGAATGTGGGTGTGAAAAGTGTCGCCAGTGGCCGAAGGAAATGCGAAATTTTAGGGGCGGAGCTGGGGGCAGGCTGCAGTGTCACCTGACACTGGGGCCAAAGCGAATTACGGCCTTTTAATTAATGTACTGACACGGAAATTTATGGCAGTCGATTTTAATTTATTGAACCTCTGCGACGCGGCGCCGTTTGGCGCCTTGGATGCGCGGACCAAACCGGCCGGGCCGGGCCCCGACCTTATCCACAACTCGACCGAAATTTATGGCCAAGTCATTGCCCGACTGGCCAGAAGTGCAGGAGGGAGTGCCGTAGAGCGGAAAATGGGAGGAAAAGGAGGAAAGGAGAAAATGGTCTGCCATAAAATGATATTTATTTTTATTGTTGGCACATTATGAAATATTTATGGACATTTTGAATTTGAAAGACAGTGAACAGCGACTACAACAGAAAAAAAAAGAAGAAGAAGTTACGGATGCTCGGGAGTTCAGCCACAGATTCGGTAGTGGGGCGTCGTGGGGGATCCTGGCGGGTCTAATCCTTGTCGATGATGGTACGGGTGCGGCATCTGCGGCCACCCTCTCCCTGTGTGATGCCGCGGCAGCGCCACTGCTCGGTGGGGATCCATTGGCTGCCGGGCTTCCTGGAGCAGTTCCTGCGCCTGGCCTCACAGCGGCTCTGGACGCTGCAGCCGCCCTGGCGGTCCGTCCAGCAGCTGGCGACCTTGTCCTCCAGGCACCTACGCTGGCGGCACTCCCTCAAGCGCTTGGCATCGCTGCTGACCGGCGCCGGTGTGCGGAGACGGGGAGCGCATCGGCCCGAGGTGCCGCTGCCGCCGAGGATGTTGCGGCAGCGCGTGACGCAGCTCTGCTTCAGCGGCTCCAAGTCGTTGTCGCGCCGCAGGCAGTTCCTCTCACGCAGACGGCAGGGCAGCAGCTTGGTGCACGTGTTGGTGCGTTCGTCACGTATGCAGACTGTCCGGCTGCTCAGCAGATCGTTCTTGGTGCAGCGGCCCGCGCATGGCGGACGACGGCGGCCGCCATCGGCCTCAATGGCCGCCACGAGGACAACGAGCACCAGAAGAATGCAAAACTTGGACATGGCTGCGATTGGATTGGATGGTTCTTCTCAACGGAATGCGGAGGAGGAGTGGTGCCTGTTTGCTCGCCGAGCCGCCTATTTATGGAGTCCAGAGAACGAACCCCAAGCCAAGCCAAGCCAAGCCCAACCATTCAGCGGGCTGCCATCTGTTCTGTTGTTTGCGTAGACTTTTGATCGGATCGCAATTCAATGGGATCGATCGAAAACAAAACAAAACAAAATGTGGCATGTGGCTCGTTCCTCCTCTACAGCTATCCAGAGCGAATATGCTGAGGGGAGATCAACAGATCCACAGGCGCACATAAACAGGCACAGGCAGAGGCTTAAGTGTCACAATTATTAATCTAAAAAATCAGTTGTATAAAATTCCGTGGTGTAGAATATTTTAGAATTCACTCGCCAAGTAGTAAGTAGCGAGTAGCGAGTACCGAGTACCGAGAACCACAACCAGGAAACGAGTTCCGTTGCTGCGATCGATATAAATAGACAGCGGAGTCCGAGTCCACATATCAGTGGCAGCTTCAAGATGCATTGCCAGTGTCGGTGTCAGTGTCAGCGTCTCATGGTCATGGTCTTTGGTGAGTGGGGGCGGAAACCACACCGAAGGAGACCAAAAATTCCCTTTCCCCCACAGTACTGACCCTGCTGGTAGCCAGCAGCAGCGGCGCCAACATCGCCCTCAGCACCACCGTGGAGACAGTCAGCGGTGCACCAGCGCACATCTGCCTGCTGCCGCCCGTGTGCGAGCCTGACAGTCCGCGGGTCTGCGGCAGGTTCCCCGATGGTAAGTGCCAGCGCTTCAACAACATCTGCCACCTGCTGGAGGCCCATCACAACGGGAAGCCTGCCTATGTGCGGCACGTGCCTGTCCGCGAGTGCCGCTTCGTCGCTGCCGTGGGGCACCACTACAGACGCCCCTGCAACGGCGGCTGCACTGCGCGTCGCGTCCCCTGCAAGCGTACGCCCCACTCGGCGGAGATATGCGTGCGCTCCAGCAGCCGCAAGGAGTGCCAGCTGCTGGCCAACAGCTGCCAGCTGCGCCAGCAAAACTGCCACGCAACGCCGCGCCACAGTGAGTGATCCGCAGATCTTCTAACTGCAACTGGCAACCTCTAACCATATCGCAACTTCATCTTCTTGTAGACTGGCGTCGCACGGACAAACGTCGCTGTGGTGCGGCCAAGGTTGGCGATAACCCCAGGCCCTGCTTGCGCATTCAAGGCTCACCAACGGCTGCTACCCAGGAACAGAAAGAGGCATGAGGTCTCTGTCAGCAGAGGCCCATCCAGCAACAGAATGCCTGCTACTGATATATCGTATAAATTATAAAGTATTCATTGGTTTCGGGCAACTGCTTTGATTTAATCAGCTTTAAACTCGAGTTGGCTGACATCTATCAGCAGAGGCAGTGGGAGTGGCTCTCCAGGCTCGCTCTGTAGGCTTTTAATCGTCACCTATTAGCTTTAGCAGAATCAAACGTCGAACCGAACCATAAACATGCGTGGCCTTCTCAGAGATTATCTCTGCTTATTCCTTCCATGATATATGCTAACTTTGATTAGCGGATTTCCTATGTTGTGAAGGATTTCGGAGCTACCTTTACCGCTCTTTGAGCACTCGTCACTCCCATCCGTGCTGTGCTGTTCGCTTTCTGTTTCTTTCTGGATTTTCCGGGTTTCCGGCTGGCCGCCTCTTGGCTGCAAATTATTTTATTGAACGCAATTGTTTCTGGCTTTGGCTCGTTTTTTATTTTGGGCGGCGGCAAATTACTTTTTATGGTCTACCCCGCTTGCCACATGCCACATGCCACTTGCCCCTGTTGAATGCTGGATGGAGCCTGTCTGATTCGCAGCGGATGGGCGATGCCGTTGTGGCGGCTGTTTTTCCAAATTTAATGGCTTAGAAAGCCATTTGCATTTTTGCTTTTTTTTTTATTATTTATTTTTTTTTTTTCGGTCCTTTCCCAACTTTGTTTAACATTATTTGGCGCCGTATGTTGCCGCCGATCTGATGCCCACTCCTACACCCTCAACTCCCCTCCCGACCCACAACCCATTGCCGTTGAGGCGGACTAATTAGCTTGGCTGGCAATGCTGTGGCGGCGGCTCTGTGGTCTGGCAGCGCTGCGTAATGCATTATTATGCACAGCCCGAAAGTATGCAATGCAAATGCATGCAGAACATATGTAGAATAAATGTAGAATGTATGTAGAAAGTATTTCTACAGGCACGTGCCTGTCAAAATTAATTTTTTCCCCAAATGCATGGAAAATTGCAAGCAAATGCAACTAAAGATATTTTTGGTATACATATGTATGTGGGAGGGGGCGGACCACAGGCACTCACCTGCGTCAATTTGCCATTCACAATGCTGAGCGACTCGAGGCTGGAGCGCACGTTCCGCAGGCTGTTGTCCTTGAGGGCCTCCAGGTGGGAGTGGGAGAACTGCAAGTGCCGGATGTGGACGCCCGGCTGGAAGACGTCCTGCGACAGCGACGTGACAGAGCGATCAAAATCGTAGATGGACAGCGAGTGGATCGGCGCCGAGATCCGCTCCAGGGTCGAGCGCAGCGACAGCGCCGTCGTTCCGGGGCACTCCAGGAAGAGTCCTGCCAAGAGCAAAGAGCAAAGAGTAAGCCAGATATATGTATGCATAAATATGTGCTGTGCAGTGTGCATTTCAATTAGTTCTCTCTGCCCAGTTCACGTCACGTGACCCTTAAAGTCTTCAAGACTGGACAGAACAGTTCTCCGTCTCCGTCTCCGTCTCCTGTCCCTCCTGTCCCCCCCTTGTGCATTGTAATGTCTGTATGTTATTATCCGTGACATATGCGTGCACCCTCCCCTCCCAGCGCTGTCTGCGTGTGCCAGGCATGCCACGCCCAGCAATCAATATTCTTGATGGAATCGGAACAGACAAAGGCGGACTAAAGACAGGCCACTATTAATATCCGAGTGAATATTCGTTTGAATGAGCCAAAAGCTACTGCTTGAATGGGGGGGCAATGCTCAACACTTGCTCAATTGATCGACGGGGAATAAGCGTCGCTGATGGATGTGCAACATGCAACAGCGCCTTTAATGCCACCACCCTTCCCGCACTTGACTCCTGGCCCCTGACTGCTGACTGCTGATGAAATGATGATGCTCGGGTATCAAAGCAAACAAATCCTGCCTGGAATACACATTAAATGTGGTCGAATGGGGACGGACTGTGCGCTGCTGCTGCTGCTTTCCTTCTCCTTTTGGCTTTGGGCCCCCAAGGAGCTCTGATTTGTTATGGGGCTCGTCGACACGTTCGGGGCGCAATAAACTTTGCCCGGCCGACTCGGACCGAACCGGACTGGACTGGACTGAACTGGACTGAACTGGACCGAACTGAGCCGGGAACCTGCCCTGAAGGACTGTCCCGGCTTGATGCGTTTAATTAGTTCGGTCGACCATTCGCACTTACCATCCTCGAACTTGTAGCAGGGGCAGGCCGAGTTGTCGTCAAAGCTGGGGCACTCGATGCCAGCAGCTCCACCGCCACCACCGCCACCACCGTTACCACCCCACCGCCTCCACCGCCTGTCGAGGATGAGCCAGCCCCCGTGGAGCCACCACTGGGAGCACCCAGATCGGCGTAGAGCAGCTCACGTGCACTGCCTTTGGCACTGGCAATGAGCAGGCGACTGGTGGCGACAGCGACGCCAGCCGGGGAGCGGGCTATCCTGGCCGAAGGTGTCATCGCTCCTGCTGCTGCTGCGGTTCCGGGCAGCATCATCACCACCAGCAGCAGCAGCAGCAGTGGCAGCAGAAGCCACAGGACATGCTTCCTCCATTGCCGCTGCACTCCGGCGACATTATTGCAATTTCGACGACATTGTCTCTGGTCTCGTCGAAGGAGAGGATGCTGCTGCTGCCTCTCTAGCTGCTGTTTGCTTCTGCATTTGCTGGGTCTACTCTGGGTCTGGGTCTGGCCCTGCCTCTGGCACTGGCTCTGGGCCTGCTGTTTGTGTTCGTGTTCCTTGGCAGCGTCTCGTGGCATTCCCTCTGCCATTCCCTGCACCAATGCCATTTTCTCTGTTTGATGTCCTTGTTGCTGACGCTGATTATGCTGGAGTGGGCGCTGCTTTTGCTTCTGCTCCTGCTTGTCTTCTGCTTCTGCTCGTGGTGCATGTTTTGACGGTTGGCTGCTTGTTTTTTCGGCTCCTGGCTGACGCCTCCTGCCGCACTCCCAGCCTGTTGACAATTGTTAGTGCTGATGCGGATGCTGATGCTGCTAGTGCTGCCGAGAGTGGGTCTAGGCATGCATCTGGGTATGGGTGTAGGTGTAGGTGTAGGTGTGGTTATGGCTCTGTGTCCGTGTCCGTGTCCGTTTGTTGACTTCGTGCATTTCGCTAATAAGTTTGCCAGCGCTGCTTCTGCTTCTGCTTCTACTTCTGCTGAATCGCTGCCTTTGCACATTTTCTCTCTTCTCTTTCTATCTGTCTCTCTCTCTCTCTCTTTTCGTGTCTATCTCTATCTCTGTCTCTGACTCTGCTCTCGCTTCTGTCTTGCTCTGCTTCTCTCAGCCTGTCTCAATCAGTGTGGAGCGTTCGTATTGATGTGTCCCTGTTGCCATATCGGAGCAGATGCAATCTGTGGAAGAGAAGACAAAACAGAAACGGAAACGGAAACGTAATTAATTCTAAATGTCAGCCGCTTAAAACCGAACAAATGGCATTGCAAACGTTTAAAAATACTCGTTTTTGGGTATATTTAATCTTAAGTGAAAGTGATCTATTAAAGTAGATTGCAGGGAGGAAGGAAAATCGTAGAACATATGTAGAACATTAATTAAATTAATTGAATGCCAGCCGAAAGCTTCTTATGGCAGGAAGACGCCCATGCGACCGAGATGGACTGCCGAATGACGCGTAATAAGTGAACAAAAATCAAACCGATCCACAAAATCTTTCACATCAGCAACAAATCATATTTTTCTAATGGAACATCTACATCTACATTTATTTGACACTGATTCCCTTTGCAGATGTTTTTCCACAAGAAGGAATCACTTCTCTTAATGCCATAATTATGTTTAATGAAAGGTATAACGAAATACATTTCCACCCCCCGGAGCATGCAGCATCTATAATATTTCATGGCTTATGCTGCTGGCTGCTCTTTCCGTTCTAGTCCATTCCATTCCGTGTTCCATTCCACTCTGTTTTGCTGTCATTTTGCTGCCGGACAACGCGACAGCCGGAAATTTGGAATAATTAATATTTGGCTCCTGTCGCTGACATTCGAATACCCTTTTGAAGGGGTATGCCAGAAGGTATCCACCCCGAGTATATTTTTTGTACTCCTGAGCAGCATCAGCATCAGCAGTGAATCGTTCCTCTATTATATTTTCCCACAGTGTAAATATGGATATTTATTTTTTTTTTGTGTACCAATTTCTTTGTTTATCTTTCTGCAAGGGTATCTGCTGGCTCGAAGCCTGGCGAAATTCGTTCTTAGTTGTTTTTTTGCTCGCCGCTCTTCCTGTTTTGGCCGAAACGAACGAAATTTCCGGTTAAGGCGACAGTCAGCGGCAGGGAGCAGTCATTCGACGCATTAGCTGCCATAATTTTAATGGCGTTTAATGGCCCAGGAATGGAATTGAATGCGGCTAAAGCCCGCAGAAGAGGGACGCCAAAGAAAAAAAAACGCATTAATTAGAAAACGAGCGAACAACGACTTAGTAATAAAATAATAATAATAATAATAATAATAAGGCATGCCAACGTGACCGACCGCCGTGCACCAGAGTCCCAGAGCCCCCTGTGCCAGCTCCAGAGTCCCTTTGCCACTCCCACTCCGCCCCCCACTATAGAGGCACTAAATTAGGCGCTCGCCTTTCGCAAAAGGAAAAAAGAGCCCCAGGTCCCAGCCCCACAAAAATTCACGCACTTGACACAAATTCCTTTGGCGGGCGGCGGGCGAGCATTAAAATTGAGATGGAAAATAAAAACAAAACGAAACGAAGCGCAACTCGAGAAGTGAAGGGGGGGAGCAGCGCTCCAACAAGAGGCAGCAGGAAAAGCGGAAAAAGTGCTGCTCAGGCATGCAAGAAAATAATTCATAATAC